ATATATATATATATATGTATGTATTTTAAACAAGTTTAAGTTTTTTTAAACAAGAACTTCCGGTTTGTCGGCTTCGCTAGCGGCAGGGATTTGCGAAGCTGCGTGATCCCTGCCGCGCTAGTTGCTTCTGGGGCTCCGACCCAGACGGGTACGGAGCTAGGCTGCCCTGCAGGGGCAGCTGAAGGTTGGGGGGATCCGGAGAAGGGTGTGGGGGTGTTGCAGACCCCCTCCCCGGCCGGCAGAACCCCCTTTTCCCAGGACGGTGCAGCGGCGGTCCGTAATGGCCGCCACAAAGAAGCTGGCAGCCGGGTAAGAATGCGCAGGAGGAAGTGGAGAAAGTGCTTGAGAGGAGAAAGTTTTTCTTGGCTCCTAGGACTCTAAGACATATTTAATAAAATTCCTGAAAAGTATGACTTTCTGAATAATACCTGCCAGAAGAGGAAAAAAGCGGCTGTTTGATGGTGCTGAAAGGATAGCTTTCCCTCTTTTCCTACGGAATAAATAACTGGATGTTAAGAAACCTATTTTTTTAGGTGAAAATTGGTTTTAAGCGATGAGTGGGAAGAGAGAGGATTAAAAAGAAAATATTTGTATGTTAAGACTTTGTTGGAGCAGATGCCTTAAGGATTTGAAGACTAGAAGATATTGCAATAAGACTTTAAACAGATTTGGACTTTCTTTCTTTTTGATTGATATTACCCCAGAAGGAGAAAGTGAGAACTCTGCCTTGGTTTGGACTGACTGATAACTTTGGGACTGTTTTATTTTTTTTATTTTCTTTTGAATATTCTGGTTGTTGTAAGAAGAAAGAAGGGGAAAAGAAAAGAAAAGATTTATAATGGCTCTTTCTGTTGAGGAACTAAGAAAAGAATATGAACAAGCAAAAAAAATGGTAAAGATGGTGTGGAAGAAGCTTTCCTATTTTTAGAAATGGCGCTCACTAACTATCAACAAACATTACAACAGATGAAGACAGCAGAGGAACAAGAAAGAAAGGAAGGAGCCATCTTTAATGAATCTCAGAATTTGATCAAGAAAGAAGGAAGAGAGAAAAGAAGAAAACTAAAGGACTTAAGATCTAAAAAAACATTTAAGAAAGGGAAAAATAAAGTGCAAAACCAATATGATGATAGTAAACAAAAGGGAAAAGGAATACGACAGAGAAGGGAAGCCGGTAAGGCAGAGGTTAGAAGAAGGGGGGGTAGAAAGGTTTGTTGGGAGAAGAAAGAAAGGGAAAAGGTGGAGAAAAGCTACAATGTTTTGAAATTAAATGGAAAAAAGAAATTTTTTATGGACAATGGATAAAGTATAATTTTTTTTAAAAAAAAAGATTTTGCAAGGTACATAAGATGAGATGGTAGTATTGTAATGGTTTAAGAGTTGATAAGAGATTAAAATGTTAAAATGCTTTAAAATTTAATAATAGGGGAGGTTTAGAATACTGTTTTAATTAAAGAGTTTAATAAGATTATGGTATTGATGTTATTATAAAATTTTTATTATAGTATCTTTTTTTAATATTTGGATTTATTGTCTAATTATGTACTTAATTATTTTGGATGTATTAGTTAGATAGAATGTACCAAGCAAAATCGGATTGGGTATTGGATATTATTTTAAAGATTAATTTGACTAACTTAGGGGGGAGATAGAAAGGCATCATACTCTGATTAATGATTTCAGGAGAAACTTATTTTCTTCTTTTTTATGAGGAATGAGACAAAGGGATGATAAAAAATGGACAAAAGATACAAATATAATGATTCAAACTAAGATGATTAATTAAGATAGAATTAAGAAGGGTGAAATATGTGGAGAAGTTAATATAGAAGGCTTAGAATGGTAAATAAAATAAGTAATGATATGTAAGATGAGCATGAATATAATTGAAGTCCATGAAGAGAGAGACACCTGGGTCCAAGTTACTTTCCAAAAAGATTTTTTTTTATGTTTTGTGTGTTGTGTGTATATGTTTTTTCTGGGGGGGAGAATTAGTAAAAACTTGTAGAAATATAGAATGAGAATAATGGTAATTAAGTCAGAAAGAAATAGATGAAATAATAACAATGATATTGATTAAGAGTAAAGAGAAGTAAAGAGAAATTGAATAAGAGGTTTTGGTATGTTATATGGAAACGGTTTAAAACAGAATCATAATTTATCTGACTTGTTAAATTTACAATGAAAAAAGGTTTAAACATGTAATGAATAATGATAATTTGTGTGTTTTTAAAAATTAATAAAACTTGTTTAAAATGTAAGTTATGAATATAGAGGGCCTGTAATACGACCATCGTTAGCCTTTTCATGAACTTCCTGGGAAACTCATGTTGTTGGAATGTGTGTACTACCAACCAGGGGAGATTCTGGGTGTAGGAGTGATTAGCTGGTGATACCAGGTAGAGCATTTGTGGGTGTGAGTCTTGGAACAAACAGTGAGGGTGTGAAGTTCTGGCCATGATGTACCATACATGTGGATTCAGAGTAAACACGTTGGGTATAAAGAGAAGACTTGAACCCAGATCCCTGAAGCTCGGGAGAACTCTTGCTGGAACGGAGACGCCCTGAGCCTGCTTCCCAGCCCACTCTAACGCAACCTAAGGCTCACCTATGTGGAGAGTGTAGGTGAGCACTGGGGGAATGAGTAGACTAGCTGGGCAGCAATGCTTACAGCAACTTGAGTGGGCATAATGTAGTAAGATAACTTTAAAATTAGACAAGTTTATGTACACATATAAAGGAGGTAATTAAGCTTAATTGAACACTTGCCTTGCTTCTTTTTGTCCGAATCACACAAGAATAAAAGAACTATTGGGAAATTCAGTGTTATGCCACTGAGCCTCCTGAAATGCCCGTTTCTTCCCTGCTCTTCTTCTTTTCTTAGAAGTACCTGTTTTCTGGAAAGGGGGGCTCCAGATCCTGGCCGTGGGCTTCAAGAAACTTAACCACGTCTTCTCCTCGGGAGATTTTGGCTTGAGTCTTCAGCAGCTCCTGGCAATAGACCTCCAGCAGCCTCAGCGTCTCCAGGCAGCGGCTCAGCTTCTGGTTCTTCCTCAGCATCGCATTGGCATCTGTCAGGGGGAGAGCAGAATTACCCCCGAAGGAGTTCCCCTTCTGGGCACACACAACCCCACACAACCTTTTTTCAGCACCACAATTTGTGTGGGGTGTAATGTGCAGCTCTGGAAGAACCCAGGAGTGTGGAGTTCTGCAGGGCTGGAAAAGCACAAGCAGCCTTTTCATTGCGCACTTAAAGGGGCACCCGTGCTCTAAAATCATTCCTTGGGAGGAGGGAATGAAACTAAATGACACGTTGCATCTGACAAATCTTTCTTCCCACAACTGAACAAAGAACAGAGGTCTAGGATGATAAGAAGCTGTTTTTGATTTGTAATTCCCCTGAACCTAAAGCAGCTCCTCCATTGTGGTCTTTGTGGCCAGACAAAGCCTGCACTTGTAGTCCTGGGAGTGGACAGTTGAAGAGTTTTAAGCTGTTGGAAGAAACAGCCTTCTGGGTTCAGTTCCAAGTGGGGAAGAAAGATACTGGAAACATGGTGACTGTTTGGAAAGATGGTTTAATGGTGGACAGCAGGACCACATGCTTTGGGTGAAGAAAGAAGGAAAAGGGCCGAGATGCTGAGAGACCCTTGTTTTTATACCCTCTGTTGGGCCCCACCTTAGTGTTTCCTGTTGCTGTGTAAGAAATGTATCCCATTGGCTGTCAGACTCCCAGGGGTGGTGGGGTCTTAGCTAACTTTGTAGGCTTTGTCTGGACCACATGGCTTCACCTGAGTGCTGGCTGATGCAATCTTCCCAGGCCAGGTGGTGAGATGGGCAGAGGCCTTTGTTATGTAGAATACTCTGGCCCAGGCCTTAATGGCCCACCCATTAACAAAGGTGGGGGCAGGCTGAGTTTCTGCCTCTCTGAGTTTCTACTTTTCTTTATAGGGGAAATATTCTGCCTTTTTAAGTATATCCCAAAATATTTCATTTTCCTAGGAGAGGAGTGGGTTTTAACCTCCAACAAAGCCTTGTGAAATCAATGTATCCCTTAACTCCTCTCGAAAACTAAAGTGATTTTTTTTTTCTACAAGAGACTAGTAGGCAAAACTGCAACACTTAAAGCACCCATTTCCCCCCTCTGTACTCCAAGGCTCCCTGGCCTGAAGCCTCCATCATGAGGTACCCAACACCTTCTGTGGCCTCAGAGGCCAAATAAATGCATCCCCAGAGTGACTCCCCTCTGCACAAACCATCGTGTGTTTCAGTTTACATGAATGCACCACTGTGTGGATGGTTTGTAATGAGGGGCTGCTGATTTAGCACTTCCACCACCAGGAGGGGAGATGCCATTTGAGTAGGTCAAGGGTGTCCAGCCTTAAATGACGTCTCTCTCTAAATCTTATTGAGTGTTGATGAGAGCAACAAGGGTGCTGAACAGAAAGCTTCACCAGCCTAATTCAAGCTAAAATCCACGGAAAGCCCAGCCTTCCCTTTTACCTCGAAATCTTGGGAGGGTCCGGTGGGCTTTTTTCAATAAACCGCTCTCAATGGGGAATTTTCTCTTCAGTCCTTTCTGAAAAGAAAGCCAGAAATGAGCTTGTGCTGTCTGGCCAGCTCTGCAGGTAAACCCTCAAACCCGAGTTCAACCAAAACTTACATGGAGGGTCCTAAATTCGTCAAATGTCCTGTAAATGAGCCCCTGGGTTTGGTCAGACCAGCAGACAGAAAGTATGCAGATCTGGAGAAAAAAAACACCCCATGAAATCCACTTTAACCTAAATCATGCAATGCTCTCTTTCTAGCAGAAATGAAACTCAAGACAATTACCAAGAAATACCAATTTCTTTCATTTTAAAGAAATAAAAAGAATACTATGTTAGTCATAACAGGCAGGCAACTCAGTTGCAATGGAGAACAGATTAAGCTTTTTTTGGGGGGGGGGCAGCCGTGGTGTCTCCCAGGGAGCAAAAGAGGAGAAATCCAAAGAATCCACAGTTGCCACCTTGCCAAGGCTGAGTTACCACTATGACCCAATGATGCTAAGATGGAAACTGGCTAGCAAACCATTTGCCTTTGTGGGCTAATGTGAGCCCGGAAAGCTCTGACTGCAGCTACGGCCATGCCAAGGCAGGAGCAGAGAGCAGAGAGCCAAGAAAACTGCTGTTGCCAGCAATGGCTCCCAAAATGGCATGTCTCACCCCAGCCCTGGCGATTAACCGGAATCCAAACCATCACAAAAAGACTTCACTACAATGCCTTCAAGCTTCCAAATATTCCTAAGAGGCAGGAAAATGGCCATTAGTACTAAAAGCAACCGAACAGCCCAGGCTTCCCAAGGCCCCCTGCCGTCTCCCAGGGGCCCCCACGGCTGGGCTCAGGGCCAAGCTACCTTCTCCCTGCCATGCTTCAGCAAGCCCACAGCTGTCACCTCCACTGGAAACCTGCTGCTGCTGCCCATCCTTCCGACTTGCTCTGGAGAGGAGCTCTGGAGCCCTGCCCAGGCGGGCAGGTGTCTTAGAAGCCGTGGCTGGGGCGGAGAGGAGGGGCCACTGGCCGGCCGGCCTTGCCCACCCCTCTGCTCCACCCTTCTGCAGGATGCAGGGCAGAGGCCAAGGCTTTTGTCAGCAGGGCAGCAGGAGAGATTAGAAACACACACACACACACACACACACAATTTGAACTCTCCTTGGCAAGGCTCACTCTGGACCCTCAGTGAAGCCATCGCTCAGAACCCTTGCAAAGAGAGGAGGGGGGGGAGGAAGGGAGGAAGGAAAAGGTGTTGGGAAAATACAGACAGTCCCTTGCCCTGCCCAAAGAGTAATCAAAAGCGCCAGGCACCATTTCCTCATTTCAGGGCTGGGTGGGTCACGCTGCCTTCCTCTGGAAGCAGCAGCTGCTCTGCCTGCCCCCTTCATTACCAAGCCCCCCCCCCACCTCCCCCATGTGCCGTAGCCCCATCCCTTTGGCAGTTGTGCCTGACTGCAATTTTCAAGGAAACAGCGGGAAACCGCACGAAGGCCGCCTGGGTGACTTGGAGCCAGTTGCTCCCTCTCAATTCAACCCACCTCAGGGTTGTTGTGCTGGGCAAACAGGAGGAAGGAGGATTAGGTCTGTTCGCCACCTTGAGTTATTTATAAAATAATCAAGGTGGCATAAAAAATAAATGATAAAGACTGATTTAAGCAGTTGGACCATAACATCTGTAAGCATGTTTCAGGTAAATGGAGATTCTCCGTCCTCCAGGTCCTGGTTGTCCCAAAGGGGTTTTTCTTTCCCCAAGAGGCAACTGGACTTGAAGATGTTTCGCTTCTCATCCAAGAAGCTTCTTCAGCTCTGGCTGGATGGGGGGGAAAGGGAAGGATTTCATTCCATTATCCATGATATGCAGTCCAATGCACAGATCTGTCTTTTGGGGAAACAAAACAGCCACTTCATAAACGCCTGGCACAAAACAAGAGAAAGCCCATCAGGACCAAGATTCAACAGTCCACCTGCATTTAAAAGACAAAGCTCACCCTTTTGATGACATTTTGAGCAGAGGACTGATGGCTTGAAAAGGGGGTCAAAGAGGCCACCTATGACAAAATTGAACCCCCCCCCTCAACAGCAGGGGAGGGATATGACATCACCTAGAAGTTCCATGAAGGCTCCACATCCACTTGCACCACTCAGGTGACCCTGAGGACACTGATAAACCTCCAAGTGCCTCAATAAGTCTCTGCAAATGACCAGCTTGAACCAAGGAGTATAAATCCTTCTATTTCCCACTATCCAGTCAGAGCTGAAGAAGCTTCTTGGATGAGAAGGAAAACATCTTCAGAGAAAAACAAGAAAGTCCAGTTGCCCTTTTGAAAAAAAAAAAAAAAAGCATGTTCCAAGTAGCCGGAGCTGTTGCTCAGGGACCCCATCGGTTCCCCATTTCTGAAAGTATCTGCCTTCTGACTCAGATATGTCTCTAACTGACTCTAAGTGGAGTCTTCAAGAAAGGAATTGCTTGATGCCCTTAAAAGCAGGAAGTTTGGAAACATTCTAGCATTTGATTTATTTTCATCAACACATAAAAAGTATAGAAAGGTCACGAAACTCATAAACTTAGAAGCACTGATCAAATACTGATCAAGGTAACTAAACCTCCAGATGATCTGGGAGAAAGGACAAGGCCATCCTTTCAAATCAAAGAGGGAAAAAGAATTGTGCCTCCCACAAACCATGCAGGAGAAGTAAATAATATTAGGCATGGGAGTCCATGGGAGAAGAAGGGTTAGGGGCCAAAAGAATCAACATAGCGGTCACATTATTTTATTTATTAATCACATTTCTACACCTCTCATCTTGTCTTCAATCACCACTATGATCACAGGATCATAGAGTCGAAGAACCATAGAATAATCTTTTCTTGAAGACCTCCAACAAGGCAAAGAGGCAAGACGTTCCATTTATTAATTAAAATGTGGGATAGACAGAATCAGAACCAGATGGATTCATAATTGGCTAACCAGCACACTCAGTGTGTAGTCCTCAATGGAGCTACTTCTACTGGAGGGAAGCATGAAGTGGGGTATCTCAAGGTTCAGTCTTAGGCCCAAGACTCTTCAACATCTTCATAAGTGATTTAGTTGAAGGGATAGAAGGAGAACTCATCAAATTTGCAAACGACACCCAAATAGGGGTGGAGGGGGAGAACTACCAACACTCTGGAAGATAGACTCCGGGTTTTGACAGACTTGAACACTGGGCACTATCCAACAAAATGCAATTCAGTGGTGAGAAAAGTAAGGCTTTACACTTAGGCAAAAAACCTCAAAGTATAAAATAGGCGGTACCTGGCTCAACAGCAGTAATGGTCTAGTAGACAATCACTTAAATATGAGCCAGCTGTGTGTTGCAGCTGCCAGAAAAGCCAATGCAATCTTAGGCTGCATCGACAGAGGGATAGAATCAAGGTCATGTGAAGTATTAGCAATGCTCTTTATACTGTACTGGTACTTAGCATTGTACTTAGAATGCTACGTCCAGTTTTGGTCACCTCAGTACAAGAAAAGAGTGCAGAGAAGAGCAAAAAAGGGACTGGGAGGTTCAACCATATGATGAACAGGTGCAGGAACTGGGAATGTCTAGTCCACCAAAAACAAGAATTAGGGGTCTTCCAATATTTGGGAGGCTGTCACAGAGAAGATGAGGTCAAGCTACTTTCCAAAGCAACTGAGGAAGGACGAGAAGTAACAGGTGGAAGATCATTAAAAAGAGAACCAACCTAGAAATAAGAAGAAATTTCCTGACAGAACAATGAATCAATGGAATGACTTACCTTCAGAAGTTATAGGCGCTCCATCACCGGACATTTTAAGAAATTGGACAGCCATTGGTCTGCAATAGGGTCTCCTGCTTGAGCAGGGGTTTAGATTAAAAGACCTCCATGTTCCCTTTCAGTCATTATTCTATTATTCTCACTGTCAGGAAAGTTTTCCTTAGTTCCAGGTTGGCTCTCCATTGTCCATTATATACTCAGCAGGTACTAGTGGCTAACCAACACAATTGGTGCTTTGGAACTAATTAGAGTCAGACGTGGTTAGCACTTGGATGGGCAATTGCCAGGAAATATCAGTCCCATAGGCTAAATTCAGATGGTGGCAATATGTTCTGGAGGACAGCAATGGCAATCCCTTTGTGTACTGCAACCAGGAAAGCAGATTGGTTATGTCCATGTAATGGCCAGGAGCCGGTTGAGCTTTTTATTCCTCTGCCCACAAATTCATTGGGGAATTGTGTCTACTTCTAGCTGCCACTGTGGAATTTATGGTCATCCTGCAATTCATGTAAGATAACTAAAATTTATTTGTTTGTTTATTTGATTTGTCAGTTGCTTACAAGATAATAGGTATGTATAAACATGAGTAAGAATACAGGAAATAGGTACAAATAAATGGGGACAATAGGACAGGGATGGGAGGCACCATGGTGCACTTATGCAAGCCCCTTACGGACCTCTTAGGAATGGGGTGAGGTCAATAGTGGATAGTTTGAGGTTAAAGGAGTCGGGGTTAGAGGAGGTAACAACAGAGTCAGGTAGTGCATTCCAGGCATTGACCACTCTGTTGCTGAAGTCGTACTTCCTGTAATCAAGTTTGGAACGGTTTACATTGAGTTTGTATTTGCTGTGTGCTCTTGTATTGTTGCGGTTGAAGCTGAAGTAGTTATTGACTGGTAGGACATTGTAGCAGATAATTTTGTGTACTACTTAAGTCCAACCGTAGGCGGTATAGTTCAAGGTTGTCCAAACCCAAAATTTTAAGCCTGGTGATATAGGGTATTCTGTTGCGAGCAGAGGAGCGTAGTACTCTTCTCGTGAAATACTTCTGGACTCACTCAATTGTATTAATGTCCGATATACAGTGTGGATTCCAGACAGATAGATGAGCTGTATTTGAGTATTGGTCTAGCAAAGGTTTTGTATGCCCTAGTTAGCAATGCAACATTACCGGAGGAGATTCGTAAGATTAGATTTACAACTCTTAATGCCTTTTTGGCATGGCACTTAGATCATTAGATATGAGTGCTCCAAGGTCCTTGACAGAGTGAGGGTCATCAACAAGGTCATATCCGTCTAGCTTGTATTTGGTGTACTGATTTGTTTTACCAACGTGTAGGACAGAGCATTTGTTGGTTGAGATTTGGAGTTGCCAATTGTTTGACCATTCAGACACATAATCAAGGTCGCTTTGAAAGACAGTAGCATAGTTGAATAGTTTTACGTCATCCACAAAGACTCAATTGCTTATAAAGTGATTGCAAAAGTCATTTATATAGTGTATAAAGAGGGTGTGTCCTAGAACGCTGCCTTGGGGGATACTGCTGTTAACTGGAGCAGGGTTTGATATAGCGCTCCCTATTTTTACTATTTGTTGCCTGTTTGACAGGAACACAGTAATCCACTTATGAAGGGATCTGGAAATGCCATAAGAGTTTAGTTTTAACAGTAGTTTGTCATGTACCACTGAATCAAAGGCTTTGCAGAAGTCTATATAAATTGCATCTATTGCTTTACCCTGGTCGAGTAGAGTCAATATGTTTTTGCAGTGTAGGAGTTGTAGATTGCAGGACAATTTTTTGTCTTCTTCCTTTATCATAACCATCTCATTATAAGTTCTGCTTCAGAAACTTGGCCTCTGGTAGTAACTGGCAAAACTGATGGAAAATCATTTTTTTTATATAATTGAATAAAGAAAGTAGTGTCAAAAACCTATTCCAATGTCAGTAAAAGATTATAAAATATTGACAATATATTGCATGAGGTTTATTTGTGCCATCTGATTTCCTCATGATTCAGTGCAAATATTTCCCTGATTCCTGCACACATCACACCTCAGTTACGATAATTTCTTATCCTACTTCCTTGGGAAAATACCTTTCTGGCTAATATGAGCTAAACCAACTTTCTACAGTTTGGTGTCCCAACAT